GGACACCCACGCCAGAGCTGAGGACCATCTACAACGCCTTTATTCTCCCCAAACTAACGTATGCGTCACCAGCCTGGTCGTCTTCTCTCAACTCCACCCAACAACGTCAGCTAGAGAAGGTACAGAAAAGGGCCTGCAGAATCATGCTCGGCGCAGAATACTCCGGCTACACCAACGCTCTCTCCACCCTGGAAATGCCATCCCTCAGTGACCTCCACCACCAAGCACTGGAAAGGTTTGGCCGTGGACTACTGCACCACCCTCGCCATCGCCACCTCCTGCCACCTGCAGCCCCCCACCCAACTCGCGCAGTCCGCCACTACAACAAAATTCAGCCCATAAGAGCCCGCACCGATAGATATAAGAACAGCACCATCCCATCTGTTGTTAAAATAATAAACAACTCCTGATTTATGTACTGTACAGCCTTGTAAATGCATTCAATGCATATTATATCATTATGTCTAAATCAAATGTAAGTGTATATTTTCAGCCACCGACAACTCTATTAATAAACCGTTTATAATAAACCGTTTATTATTATTATTATTATTATTATTATTATTATTATTATTATTACATACAGAGCCCTTAACATACGCGGGGGTTAGGTAACAGATACCCTTGAGTGTTAAAGTCCGTGTACATTTACCCCAAAAAAAACCCTTGCCCCCCCTGTCCTTATTTACCGTATATACCTTTGTGTAGCTCGAGTTTTTAAGACCAAATTATTTGGCAAAAAATTGGGGGTCGACCTCTAAACGGGTAATAGTTTTGTTAGGTTGAAAAATATTTACCAGTAACTACCAGTAAACAATGGAAACGACACACCAACGCACCACCAGCTGTGAGTGTCGGTACAGTTGCCAGGGCAGATCTCTTGCGTCATCATAGCAAGCCCAAAGTAGCCAAATGCATGGTATGGTATGCACAGGACGATGTGAAACATATAAGTATTCATTTTTTAAAGTTTATTTATAGATACTGTACATAAATTTTTGTTCACTACATTTGAAACGTCAACCTTTGTTAATTAAATTTGAAACAAAAGAAAACTTTGATACCGTATTTTCATTAAAATATTACATCACAAGTATATTTTACCTTAACTGTTACTGAATGAATATATTCTCAGAAATAAATATGGAAATGTAATATTTTTGCTGAAATGACATACATATTACAGTGGAAAGTGGGACAAAATCGTGACGAAATCAATGACTTGCTCTTTCTTTCATAGTTCAAAAGATTTTACCGTGATCGCTTTTTGAATGGTTTTCAGTTAAAAAACTGTTGTATTACAATAATATTCTATCCTAATTCACTTGAATAAATACTAAGATACCATATTTCTGAATATTTTCATGAAAATCCATCAAAATAATTTTCCTTGTCATTGTCTTCAGCACACAGTTGCCAATTTCAAGATTTTCCGTTTAAAATTTTAAGTTACCGAGTATTTCTTTTCCCAAATCGTTTTACAATACAGTGAGTTCTGCTATAACGCGTGTTTTGATAACGCGAATTTGCTCTAACGCGATTTATGAATTCGGAACAATATTTGTATAACGCGATCGCTTGTTTGCTATAACGCGATTTTTGCTTACTATTTCTCCAATTTTGTGGTATTAACTGTGAATATGGTAAAGAAGAATATCTCCAAAAAGCATTCTGATGATAGAATTCCCGGTGATTATCGTAAAAGAAAGGATATAACACTTGAAGAGAAGCTTGATGTTATCAACCTCAAAATCACCCTTCTCCCCCATCAAGTTACATTCATATTTTTTCAAGGTAAAGTGTTAAATTTACTGTATGATTTCATTATTAGATATGAATGTAACATTTATTTAGACTGTGCTATCCTTTGTGTTAGGCTAACTACTAAATTTTTTCGATTTCGAGTAATCTGCACCTAACCCTATTTTCTCCATAAGCCCTGTTATTTCTATTACGCGATTTTCTATAATACGATATTTTACAAGAACACAATTATCGCGTTATAGCAGAACTACCTGTACTGTAGGTAAAACAGTTTACTATTGTGCAAACCCCCACAGAAAAAAAAATAAATGGAGACACCAAAAATGTAAAAAAAAAAAAAATGCATTGTCTGACTTGCAACACTGTTGGTAGGGTCAGGTGGTTCTAACGGCATCCTGCCAGTACCCGGTAATCAAATTTATAACAATGTCTAACCTCAATTACTGTAGTTTATCTGATGTAGGCAATATGAAGTAAAAAATACAAGTTAAAGTGAGAAATTGGAAGAGAATTAACAAGAAAGATGTCGTTGGGCTATTTTTGGTAGGGCTGAGGGAGAGAGTACCAGCTGTTTGGTCTTTTTTGGCGGGAGAGTCACGCAAATATCCGTACTGGCATTTGTTTGGTGTCTTCTGTATTTTTAAAAATGAACACTTGTAAATTAAAAGTACCGTAACATTGTATTATATACAAACTTGTCATATTTCTGGAAAATAAGAAGCAAGAAAATAAGAATATATCGGTAAACACAATTTCAATGTATGCTAAAATTAAAGGCTGCTTAAGAAGGGCCGATGCAAAAAAAAGCCTCCGTGACCAGGGCTCTGCCATATCAGCTAGACGGTACACATGTTTTTCGAATCTTTTTCAGTTAAAAAACTGTTGCATCACAAGCGAATTAGGATAAAATATTATTGTAATACAACAGTTTTTTAACTAAAAACCATTCGAAAAGCGATTACGGTAACATCTTTTGAACGAAAGAAAGCGAAAGTCATTGTTTTCGTCACGATTTTATCCCACTTTCCACTGTAATACGTACGTCGTTTCAGCAAAAATATTACATTTCCATATTCTCAGAAATAAATAGTAGCTTTACTGAAACGTAATGTATTTCAATGTAAAATAGGATAAAATACATGACGAAAACAAACGACTTTACCTAACCTTCCGATGTTCAAGAGATGTTACTCGTTTTTTTAATAGTTTTCGGTTAAAATACTGTTATTACAATGATATTCTATTCATAGTGTGCTTGACATAATACATTCACGGAAATGTAATATTTTTGCTGAAATGAAGTACGTTTTACAGTGGAAAGTGGGTTAAAATCGTGACGAAAACAATGACTTTCGCTTTCTTTCGTTCAAAAGATGTTACCGTAATCACTTTTCGAATGGTTTTCAGTTAAAAAAATTGTTGCATCACAAGTGAATTAGGATAGAATATTATTGTAATAGAACAGTTTTTAACTGAAAACCATTCGAAAAGCGATTACGGTAACATCTTTTGAACGAAAGAAAGCGAAAGTCATTGTTTTCGTCACGATTTTATCCCACTTTCCACTGTAATACGTATATCATTTCAGCAAAATATTACATTTCCATATTCTCAGAAATAAATAGTAGTTTTGCTAAAACGTAATGCATTTCAATGTAAATTAGGATAAACTACATGAAAACAAAAGACTTTACCTAACCTTCCGATGTTCAAGATATGTTACTCGTTTTTTTAGTAGTTTTCGGTTAAAATACTCTTATATTAGTGATATTCTATTCATACTGTGCTTGATATAATACATTCACGGAAATGTAATATTTTTGCAACTACAATGCTGATGTCAACACAAGAGTGGTTTCAGCGAGACTGACTGAGTGAGGGAGAGCTATGCGTGTGTGTGGGGTTGCGGGAGCGGGCGGTGTCCCGTGTTCGATGCCGCGTGCCAGTTGAATGGCGCGCGATTTGAAAGTACTTCAATTACTTCAATGTACAGAATATTCCTCCGGCGGGGAAATCCGCGTATTTGCAAATCTGTGTATGCTAAACCCGCGTATGTTAAGGGCCGACTGTACAGTAATGTACTGTATACTGTACTGTATTGTATAAAATGTTCCAAATAGTGTTAGTACGCACTTTATCTTTTAACAAATCGTATCTAAATAAGTTTTCTAAAACTGAACTGTACTGTTTTGTTAGGGCGGTTGGTTGGTTTTGCATTTTATGAATGGTAAAAGCCAAGACTGTTTCTATAAACTAAACCCCTTGGGTATGAGGAGTAGTGGTGAATAAAATCATATGGCATTGGCCAAATGAAATAGTAAAAGTGACTGCCAGTAGTGAAGGTTAATGTTGAGTTGTTGTCTTTGGGAGTTACATCTGAAAGATTTATTTTGATGTATAGGAAACAGTGTGAAAAGGGAAGGAAAAAAATACCCAGAATTTCTCTAGGAAGTGGTACGTAGTGCTTAACATAACGAAAATGGAGTATTGCATGTTTCTGAATTTAGCAGCAACAGATCACTGAGTGATTGTATAGTCACCCAAAAGTTTAACTCTCCCAGCCAACTATTGCTGCACTGCCTGCTTCAGATGTATGAAATTGAGTCTGTTACTTTGAACCTTTAGATTCATTCATATATGTTTCATGTTCTGGTTGGTACTGAGACAGTTTCAAACATCTGAAGCAGGCAGTGCAGCAATAGCTGACTGGGAGAGTTAACAAACTTTTGGGTGAGACTTTACCAAAGTAAAATCTGTTGCTGTTGTACAGTATTCTCAGTATTTGCTTCCTGAAATCAGGTACTGTACTGTATACTGTAGTTAAGTGATTGTCCAGTACAGTAGTTTATAATTTGCCAGTGGCCAAAACCTACTTAGCATTGCTTTCTTGCTTGTTTTGTATTTTTTGCATTAAAACAAACATTTTAGTAAAGATCCTGCTCTAGAACCAAATTCTTTGCAAGGAAATCAAAATATCTGGATGAAGAGAAAATGAGGTTACTTTTGTCAGCTTTGGTACATTGTCACTGTATTCACCATGGTACAACAGCTTGATTAAGAAATTTATATGTAAACAACAAATATTCAAAACAAGCTTATAGGGTACTGTACTGTAGATTTTTAGAGAGATTACCACCATGTACACATTTGGATCACTCATTTTCAGGTCTTGAATTTATTACCTCTAGAAAAACATATTGTTGAGTTATGAATTTACAATATTCCATCTCTTCTAGGAGACAGGATGGTCAAGGAAACAGGGTATTATGATGTCCTTGGGGTTAAACCTACAGCTACCTCAGACGAACTTAAGAAAGCATATCGTAAACTTGCTCTTAAGTACCATCCTGACAAAAACCCGAATGAAGGAGAGAAGGTAAGTGCTGTACCTGATTGAGGAATTATTTATCTATCTTATGCTATATACTGTACACTATAAAAATATTCATATAAAACATTTTGTGTTCATCTTGGTCACTGTCAATCTTATTACTTGAACAAGCTAGTTACTCGTGGATAAGTGATTATCTTAAAGGTTAAAATTTTGTACCTGCCATTTTTACTTGTTGATCATAATTTTTTTTCCATAAACAGTTCAAGCATATCTCACAAGCATATGAGGTGTTGAGCAATGAGGAGAAACGAAAAATATATGACCAGGGAGGAGAGCAGGCACTCAAGGAGGGTGGCACTGGAGGCGGCAACTTCACCTCGCCAATGGACATCTTTGATATGTTCTTTGGGGGTGGTATGAGACGTGGCCGTGAAAAGAAGTGAGTCCAGTATAACTTCTTGCTGCATTATTATATAGCTGTGTAACTCAATTCATTGAATACTGTACCAGTCTTGACTCGTTTAATTGCCGAGAAAATTTTCCCTACCCATTTTAACCCCTACGCCCCGGTCTAGGTTGCCGCTGCCCGTATCCCCCACACGGGGTACTGTATTTTTCGGCTTGGAAGACGCTGCATTGTGGATGACACCCTGATTTTGGAATTTTTTTTTTTTTTTTTTTTTTACTGGTATTAGCTCACCTGGGCACAGGTCACTGACCCACATTGGGGCCTAGGGGGTGAAAATGTAATAATAATAATAATAATAATAAACCATAAAGAAATACAAAAAAAAATCAAGATTGAGAAACAATATATGTATGTTGTGTTGTCAAAGTATGAGAAACAATTGAGACCTTGCATTTGTGTGTAAATGTGGCAGAAAGTCAGATCAGCAACCTGGGACTTGGTCACAATTTTCGTGATGCCATATGGCAGCAGGGTCTACCAATATCTTCCCAGGCAGTAGTACCTGGTACCTCCCTGTTTGGTAGTTGCCTACTACCGACACCAGTGAAACCGTTGCTTGATAATTGTACAGCCCTTTTGGCACAAGTACACACACCTCTTTGAATATCATCACTTAGAACTGCTTATCAGTCATCATTTTTATCAATTTAAAAAAAAATCTGTATAAGAAGGTGAAATCTTTAATACAGCACTCATTTTATACACCGGGCTGGTCACCTCCACATCTTAGGGGCTGTAGTGTTTACATTCTTTCTCTTGTTTTTGTCGGTATGACAACGACGGGAAATATTTTCCAACAGTAGAAGGTAAGCAAATGTAAACATGTATATCAGCGTCTAAATAAAACAAAAATTCTTTATTTAAAAACAAGAAAATAAAAGTAAAAAAGCAACATGTTTGCAAAACCAGTGATTGATTGGTTCTACATAATTATAAAACTGAAGAAAATAAGACCCCGGTTGTAGCTGTAGTAAAATTAATGTAGAAAAATTAATATGGTTGTTTTAAGTAATGTTATTTAATGTTAATAACTGGAACAATGGAAATAGCTAACAATTAAGGGTAAAAAAAGTGAGGTCGTGTGTGTAAGTGAGCACATGTGTAAACATATCGTCGTTACTCTACATAAGAATATGAAAGCAACACTTATTTACTGTTCATATATATTTTAATTAATGTTTCTGAATTAAAAAAAAAATTCTACCCACCAGTGGTGGTAAAATTTAAAACATAAGGACAGCCAATGTTGTTGTGTGTGATTTTACTTGAATGACGAAGTTGTATTTAAATTTGGAAGATTTTAATTTTGTGGGGTTCTTACAGTCTAAATAGGTATCCAAATATGAGAGCCTACTGTAAATAGGTGTCCAAATATGAGAGCCTACATATAAAGAAACAAACATTCCTGCACTTTGAGACCAACAGACAACCTTTAGCAATTCCTCAATAGATGGCGCTGCCACACCACTGCCATTAGTAAACAGACCACACACCAGCAAGGTTTATTTTTATTTTTTTTGCAATACAGCTAGACCCCGACTTACGATGGGGTTAGGGACCCAAATCCAGGTCGTAAGTCCGACATAGATAAAAAAAAATCCAAAAAAAAAATTCACTTTTTTTTTTTCCAAAAAAATTTAAAAATCTACAATGAAATACAGTACACTAAATGTAAAAAATAATGAGGAATGGATACAGTACAGTAAAAGTAATAAATAATGAGGAATGGATACAGTGTGACTGAGCACTTACCTTAAATGTAGTCAGCTGAATGCACACAGAGCCCCCATAATTTTCTATTTACAGGATACATGGAGACTATATTAATTGGAAGAAGCAGAGGAGGAGACAGGGCTGGTGGGTCATCAATGCCGCTCAGACACAGGTTTATGCACTGTGGTAACTTGCTGGTTGGAAGGTTGCCGTATTGGATCATCTTGAGGAGTGAATACAAGGCACTTGGGGACCCCTTTTGAAATAGAGATGTCCACCCTGACTGCACAGTTTGCTTTTTTTCTTCATTATTATAAATTCTATGCAAGAGCATCTTGGATCATTCTGTCAACTTCGGCATAACGCTTCACATCGATCCATGTCATCAAACATTTGGTAATTCCTTTATTAATTGCAGCAAATGCCCCGCTGTTGTTTCACTGAAAACCTTTTTTGGGGTGCAGGCCTTCAACATTTCTCTCTTTCTTCCTCTGCAACTTTCTGTGCATCTAGTTCAATAAGATCCTCACACGAGCCTTCTGCTGTTAATTTTCAAACCAACTGTCCAACATCTCAGTAGGTATCAATTTCTAACTCCAGCTGTTCACCTAACTCCAGTATCTTGTTGGCTTAATATCCAAAAGAATCACCTACTTAAATCCTTTTGGAACTGTTCACATATCTTTTTCAGGATTTTTTCCATATTCCATCTGGTGCAATGTTTTGTAACCTGATCCCATGCTGTGCCTACTTGACATGACAAACAAGTTGTACTCTTCCAAACTGTCTGAGGTATTCTTCACCTTCAGTAGCAGCAACAGCCTGAGCGTATAAGGTCGTATGAATAATACGCTTTAAAGGCAGCAATATAATTTTGATCCATGGGTTGTTGGATGATGATAGAGGTAGCAATAGGTGGAATGTAGACTACCTTAACATCAGGGTGCATGTCGTCCAGGTGGTGGTGTCCCGACATTATCCAAAATCAGCAAAATCTGAATGGAATCCTTTGTTGCAGATACAATACTCCTTGGCTTGTGGAATGAAACAAGTCAGTGAGCCAATCCTCAAAACAGTACTAGGCCACCAGGCTTTTGTACCATGAGCAAACAGTGGCAGTAAAACAACACATGTTAAAAGTCCCCACCTTCTGAATGATAGACTGTAATATTTTAGCTTGAAACTAGCAACAACATTCTCCCCCAACAGAAGTGCACTCGTCCTCTTGAACCGGGCATTGCTTTTGGGCTCTCTTGTGATGTATGTCCACCAGGCATGCTGCCCATAATAATAATCCAGTCTCATCCACATTGAATATTTGCTCAGCAAATAATCTCTCCCACAATCAAAAGGCCTGCCCCAACCTCCTTAAAAGCTTTTGCAGCACCAACATCGGCACTAGCTGCCTCTCCACTCACCTTAACATTGTGTAGACTGTAGTTGCTAAATCTATCAAACCAACCATGACTTCCTGTAAAAGGCTTGATCATTCATCCTGCCTGCCTTCAGGCTTTGGAACAGGCTTCTTTGCTTTAGCCTTCCGGTAAAGGGTTAGAACGCTTTAAGCGGCACTTCCTTCTGTATCTGGTCTTCTATCCATATCACCAATAATTTTTTCCACATCGTGGATAGGACCTTATCTTTTTTGATATTATAGTTCCTTTGAGAGAAAGTGTTGTTCCTTTTCACTACTCACTAATAATGTCTTTGTCCTCAGAATAGTGGATATAGTCGAAAGGAGAAACCCAAGTCGCTGTGAGAGATTGTTGCTACTGCTTTTCCATTCTCATGCTGTGTTATTATCTTGTTTCATCTCAAAAAGTAATTGGCTCTGTCTCCTTTCCGAGCACCAATTGCACCATACTTTTACGCTTCAGTCATTTATGTAGTCAATTAACACGAGTAATAACGAAAGTTCAAGCGATCAGTATAGGATACGAGTAGCCAAACACAAACAAAGCCTCCACTGAGTGAGGTAAATTTAATGAGAAGCACTCCAAGACACCTCCCCCGACAGAACAAGCCAGAGTAGAAAGGCTTATCAGAAAAAATTTTTGGTCATGACGGTCGCAGTCGTATGTCCCGTATAGACGTACGGTCAAAGCAGGTCGTAAGTACCAATGGACGTAAGTCCACGTAGTCAATAGTCGGGGTCTAGCTGTATATCATTAGTAGTTATATCTAGTTTTATAGTACTGTATAGAGAATACTTGCAATTGTTAAGTACTGTAATGAGGTAACAGTCTTTGTAAAGGGCTGATTTCAAAAACCTCTGCTACAACTCATCGACTAGTGTCCTGGAAGACGCATGGTAATTTTTTAGTTATATTTTTGTCATAAAACGTGCGTCTTTTTCGCCGAAAAATACGGTAATTTGAGAAAAATCAACCTTTCTAAAAATATTTTTCACCCTTTTAAATGATAAAACAATAAAACAGAAGTAAGAAAAGCTATATATTGACCCTCTAGAAACTTCCCTGTGGCAGCGTGACGAGGGAGATGGGGAGAGTGTCGTATTGACAGGTAGCGCTCGGGATCACTACGCACTTAGCGGCCATTTTCTGCTTGCCTTTGTGTTCGGGGTGGCCAGTAATGCATATATTTACTGATCATAATACTTATTTCCTATAAATAATTCATTTAGAATATTTATATGCATTTTTCATAAAAAATGCTCGGTGACATGCAGTCAGTCACCAGGCTGTCTGTCTGTCTTAGTGTTTGGTAGAGCAAGTAATGCATATACAGTAATACCCCTCTTTACGCGTTTTTTGCGTTTCTACATTTACGCGGTACCCCGCCAGAACCGGAATGTTCACTTTACGCGGTGCATCTACTCATATACAGTACGCGGGAAGCGGCGCGGGCAGGGTGCGCACAAGGTCGCCCAGTCATCAAAACATTACCGAGTTCGTCACCCGCCATCCACCACAGCCAGCCCAAGTCAGTGATAGTGAGGATATGGACTTAGAGGGGTTTGACAAAGAGGCCCTTCAAGCCTCTGTGGTGGATTGTGATACAATTGAAACAAGTGATACAGGTGAGGGCCAATAATCTGCCCTCTGCCTCGGAACCAACCCCCCATCTGCATGTGCCCGGCCATCTTTTCTACTAATGTAAGTGTTAAAAAACCTAATATTATTGATATTTCTCTTAATTATTAATTGTGTGTGCATACCATCATAAAAGTAAGAAGTTATTTTTACTACAACGTAGGTATTGTGTCTGAAAAATTAGAGTTTGGGGGTCGGCCCAGTCTATTTCAATTAATCCCATATGTTCTGTTGTTCACTTTACGCGTTTTCCGCTTTATGTGGGCCTCCGTGGGTTCAATTAACCGCGTAAAGCGGGGTATTACTGTATATATATATAATTATTGGATTAATAATTCCACAAATAAATACATTTATAACATAATCATAGCATTATTTTCCAGTAATACTACACTACTATATAACTGCACTACTTTAAAAAATAATAGTACAGTATTACCCCGCCTAACGCGGTTTCACTTAACGCGATTTCGCATATACGCGGTGCCTCGCCAGAACCGAACTTTCACTTAACGCGGTTCATCTACCCATATACGCGGTGAAGTATAATTTTTTTTTTATTTAGCTCATAAAATTAATACAAATTACCCGGCCAGAATATAATTTACATTGCTGGAATTCTTACAATATGATGATCATTTTGAATATAAACATCATAGATTTTGCATTAGACATACAAATTTTAGATATAATGTTTACTCTGAGTAAATATGTTATCTTTTGTGCAAAATATATGACATTTATATTCAAAATATTCCTGGTCTTACGAGGAATCCAGCAATGTCAATTATATTATCCTAACTTTAGTTTGAGGTATTATTTATTACTAAAAAGGTCCCTCACATCTGGTAGGGAGGGTTGGTGGGGGGGTGGGAGGGACCGACCTACCATCTGGCACGGTGCGAAGAATATATTTTTTTTTTATTAACTGAAGATATTTGTTTTAGCTCATAAAATTCATACAAATTACCCGGCCAGAATATAATTTACATTGCTGGAATTCTTACAATTTGATGATCATTTTGAATATAAACATCATAGATTTTGCATTAGACATACAAATTTTAGATGTAATGTTTACTCTGAGTAAATATGTTATCTTTTGTGCAAAATATATGACATTTATATTCAAAATATTCCTAGTCTTACAAGGAATCCAGCAATATCAATTATATTATCCTAACTTTAGTTTGAGGTATTATTTATTAAAATCTAGTGGTTTTCCACCCAAAATTTCTCAGAGGGAAGAGCCAGCAGTGTAGTGTGAGAAGAGGGGGAGGGAGTTGAGTCCATTATTTGAATGGACATTAACTTGGCGACTGTATTTCTCTATTTCTCTTAAGTATTAATTGTGTGCATGTACCATCATAAAATTAAGATGTTATTTTTACTAGAACATAGGTATTGTGTCCGAAAAAGTAGAGTTTGGGGGTCGGGCCAGTCTCTATTGGAATTAATCCCATATGTTCTGTTGTTCACTTAACGCGGTTTTCACTTAACACGGTACCCTGTGGGTTCAATTGACCTCGTTAAGCGGGGTACTACTGTACTTTGATACAACATGATAAAATACACAAACAATGAAAATAAAACAAACAAAAGTAGGTAATTATGTTCAGGAAGCTTCCCTGTGGCACGAGTGCATAAGACGCCCCCCCCAAATTTCCATTTAAAAAGTAGCTTTTGAGCTCTATTTGCTGTATAAGACCAGTACCCCAAATGTGACACTTACCCACTGACTCAGTAGTCCTTTACCAACCATCCTTGATTTTTTAAAATAAGGCCAATTCACTTCAAGTAATGTCATCAAATTATACTCGCTGGTGTAGTGTAAACACTAGTGACGTCACTGAAGCGTGGTGGGAGTGTTCCCTCGTCTGGGTGGTGTGACTATTTATACAACATGTGGTTCAACAGCAACCACCGTATTCTAATTGTGATGTTTCATTAGGATTTGAGTGAAAAAGGTTACCAGTATGTACTTACTACATACATTTATTACACAAATATATATATATATATATATATATATATATATATATATATATATATATATATATATATATATATATATATATATATATATATATATATATATATATATATATATATATATATATATATATATATATATATATATATATATATACTGAATATACTATGTACAAAAAATGAATGTTCAATGAATTATTTATGGTGCATTAGGGTACTGGTCACTTCTGATGGGCTATAAATAGCCTTCTTTATCTCCCCTCCATCTCACCCTGAGCCAGACGGAAGGGTCTTGGTAAATAACATGTTTGCTTATTTTCCATTTACTTTAAATAGATTTACCGAATTATTTGTTTTATTTATTTATTTATAATATACTGTAATATATTAAACACACTGTAATTATTTTCTTTAATTTATAAACTGTTTTGCGACAAAGGAATGTTCTCCAGTAGTGTTTCATTAGGATTTGAGTGAAAAAATATTACGTACTTACACAATTGTTCCTCTTACTTTGACAACACAACATACATACAGTATATTATTTCTCAGTTTTGATCTTTTTTTTTAATTTTTGTATTTATTTATAGTTAGTTACTTAAAATAAGGCCAATTCACTTCAAGTAATGGCATCAAATATTACCAGCTGGTGTAGTGTAAACACTAGTGACGTCACTTGAGCGTCTGTAATTAACCGTCGATAGTTTCAAGAATTAATGCACTTTTCCTTTCTTGTCTCCTCACTGGCAAATGGGGGGGGCGTGGGGAGGGGTGTGTGATGATAGCTGTGTTTATTACAGGGGTATAAATCTCTTTTACGGTATGTTAGACAGGTTTATAATACATTTTTATTATTTTAATATACCGGTAATCTTAATTTGAATCCAGCTTGCCAAACGTAAGTTTCAGTATAAAATAATTAGTGGTAAGACCTTGTGAGTGGCTTACGATGTTTTCATCACCACTCTTGACACACTAAACCACAATATTTAAGAGGTAAGAATTTTAAACTTGGTGGTTTAGACGACCCCCTAACTTTGGGCAGATTTTTTTAATGTTCAAATTTCGTCTTATAGGCCGTGATATACGGTGAGGAATTGAACATGTTAGGGGAAGGAAAGAAAGTAACAGGTGGACTGTGAAATGTATGGAGAGAGCTGTGCCAGAAAAGGCAAAGAAGTACCAGGAAATTTTCAAGCTGACTGCAAGGTGAAGGACCTTAATAGAAGCAGTAGAAATGATGTGCTTGAGAGCTGTGTGTTGGTAGTTAGGATGTGGATGATGTTAAAGATACTGTACAGAAATAGAGATGCAGTAGTGAGAGTAGTGTCGGATGGATAGTAGATCAGGGATGCTCTGGTGGTATAAATGTTTTGAGTGTGTTAAGTGAAAGATTGGTACAAAGAATATAATTTATAGGTGAATAGTAGGAGAGAGGGAAAAGCGGGGGAAGATGGGGTGAACTGGAAGTGACGGAAGTGGACATTCAAAAGTGGCATGTCTTTGAATGGCACGTAAAACTTGAAAGTTCCTTGACATCGCATAATGCTGTAATGATGACTCTTGGTATGTGCATAATTTGATTTTTCTTATTATGAACATCACACTAAAGTTTCTTAGTATGTGTAGAAAATGTTTAATTTTTCTTGCTTTGTAGAGTGAAGGATGTAATCCATCAAATGAATGTAACCCTGGAAGAACTCTACAATGGTGCTGTCAGAAAACTTGCTCTCCAGAAACATGTAATCTGTAGCAAATGTGAAGGACAGGGAGGCAAGAAACCCCCAGAGAAGTGCCCTAGTTGTAGAGGAACAGGCATGCAGGTATGGCTTAAACTCTTCCAGTTTCTCTTTGAATATCGTTAGGGGATATATTTGCACTTGCAAGTGATTTTGTTATACAAAAATACATTGTAAGGATTTGTTTGGATTGTATTTTTGAGAATTATTTTGAGGGAAAACGAAGACCAGTAGTTTGGGCAGTCTTTCACTAAAGGCAGGTTGAATCGTCTCTAGCAGTAAGATTGAAAGGCAGAGCAATACTTGGGAAGAGTTAATAAAGGGGAGAGAGGTACAGTAATTATTTATCCTTCAAGTGATAAAGTCATTGATGGACCTGGGAAGTTCTGTAAGGGAGGTGTCAATCAGGGATACAGTATTTACAATGAATTACTTCATTATTGATGAACAATTAATTTACATTAGTCAAATTTTCAATTTTAATTCTTCCAACTTGGATAAGACGTCGTAGTTTGCTGGCCCAGTATGCTTTTAATTGTACATATACCAGTTGTAGAACTTTTGCCTTGCAAGTGACAAGTTTTAAGTTTGTTTTCCAGACAAGTGGGGTCTGTATTCACTCCATGTGCTTACTAGAGTAAAATGAGTACATTAATAGGATCACTTACTGATAAAGGAACAACTTTCTGGGAGAGTAGTTTCCTGCCATGGTCATGGGGTTAACCTACTAGCTGTTGAAAGTTAAGATTGGAGATCAACAACTGTGTCTGTTAACAGGGAAAGACTTGTATGCATTAAAAATGTCATGTCACTAAGAAATATAAAGTAACTTGAGCAGACATCACAAAATAATGCTTGCTTAAATTTCTTGTTCTGATCACTTCACATAGAGACTGTTACTTTATATTTATTTGTAATCTTGACCATTAGGTACGAATCCAGCAGCTTGGGCCCGGTATGGTGTCACAGGTACAGAGCATGTGTGGTGAGTGCCGGGGCCAGGGCGAGCGCATCAGCCCCAAAGACAGATGTAAAACCTGTGAAGGGAAAAAGGTAAAAAAAATTTGTATTATAGATAAGTTATTGGTTAACAATGAATGGTAATACACTAGTTGTTCTCTAGATCAGTGAAAAATGTAGTCACCCCCATTGTTCATCCATCCATACTTCTGTCTGTACTTGAGTACTGCCCCCGTCGTTATTTTTTCTGTCTTGAAAATTTGAAATTCCAGAAGAAATGCTTTGATTCCCCAGTGCATCATCATATGTTGGCATGCATGCTTGATAGTATTAAAAAATACACAATGTACAGTATGTAATTATAAAATATCTGGAGGAATATAACTTGAATAACTTTTCATTTTGGAATTTTGGCAGTTCTCGACAAAAAATATAAATATTACCAGATAATTTGATGCACATAGTAGATAATGATGTATATGTAATATATATATACTGCATATTATGTAGTGTTTTGGGGTCTGTGCAGGCATTGAATCTTCTTTCCATAAGGTCTTCATTTTATGTTCTCATAAGGTTCAAAGAATGGAGGAATTTCATGTTAAATTGCACTTAAAGTCTTAAGATGGTTTTTCATAGTAAATTCAGGGTGACAAGTCATTGGTCAAGATTATGTACAGTCATCCCTTGGTTATCACGCCTAATTGGGACCACGCCGAGTGCGTGATAACGAAAAACGCGATAACGAAAGTACGAAACCTATGGGATTTATTCTAATTAGTTCCAGGCACCCAAGACCCAACCCCAATTTTCCCATTTTATGACCATTTAGACCCACTAAATATATAGATAATGTTATGGTAAGTATCAGAAAAACACATAGGCATGGCTAGGTTTATTACAAAGTGATGAAAAGGGTACACTCAATACTGTAGTCCACAAAATATGTAGCTATGCTTTCTTTATTTGAGTCCCCCGTCTGAGGAGTCCGTTTTCTCATTTCTTCAGAACACCTGAGTCCTCCGTTTTCTCTCAATCTTAGAGTGCACCTGAGACTTCGTTATTCCTTAGTAATGACACAGAATTTGAAATTGCAACTGGGGTTACAATTGTTGAGGCAACTTAGATATGTCTGATTACAGTAGGAACATTCAAGGTCCATTGTGAGCAGTGGCGGCTCGTCGGTAGGCGCTGTGGAACTGCAGCACCCCTATTTCACCCAATATATATGTATTATATAATATAATATATCATATGTGTTTATTTATTTATACTTGTACAAGATATTTAAAACTATTATCAATAATCCTTAAACTTAATGTCAATGGCCATCCTCTAATTCCGAGAAAACAACAAAAATCCCTGCATGTGGAACTGTCTTACTCGACAGTTCCAATAACGGACATTTGCTTTGTTGCACGCATGTGCGTATGTCCTGGAGGCAAGCGGGGGCGAGCACTGTGGTTCACAGTGCCGATCTGGTTATCAGTGTGGGAGGTAGTGTTTACGCATCATCCTGTGTGGTGCTTACGCGCCGTCTGCTATATCAAGAGTATTTGAATGTGATAAATTGTAGATGATGTGATATAACTGTATGATATCACATCATCTACAATTTATCACATTCGAATACTCTTGATATAGCAGACGGCGCGTAAGTACCACACCGGATGATGCGTATGATTCATACTCATAGACTACATTTTGTATTCATTGTTTTTTCCAGAAACTTTATTGTGTAGAAGAATTTGAATTAATTAAACATTGCCTCCTTGTTTTCCCAAGAAACAAGTTCCGTGACAGTGAGTGAACTTCAACAACTTAAATTTTCACAGTTGTCTCTTCATGAGAAAGTTGCTATTAAGACAAGAGGCTGTCCCTCACCTGTTATTCAAATATCTCAGCCAGGAATAAGCAACAGTAAGAGGTATATTCGTAGCTTTCATTCAGAATGGTACCAAAGGAAAAGTTGGCTCTGTGGTTGTGAAGTAAAAAATGCATTATTTTGTTTTCTGTGTTTGTTGTTTGGAATTGGAAGTGATGTAACTTGGACAAAAGACGGCTTTAGAAATATAAACAAAATGAAAGAAAAAACTGAAAAACATGAAAAGTCAAAGAAGCATATTGAAAGCGTGGTTTCACTATCACTTTAAGGAAGCGTAAATATTAAAGAAAAACTTAGTGAAGCCTATAGACTTTTGATCAATGAGCATAACAGGAAGGTTACCAAGAACCGTGAAATTTTATTCAAGATAATAGACTGCATTACATTTTGTGGAAACTTTGAAATTCCTTTACGTGGACATGATGAAAAAGATGATTCAGTAAATCCAGGTGTATTTAGGGGATTAATAAATTTTGCATCTAAATTAGACCCAGATTTAAAGAACCATTTAGAAACAAGGACAGTCTTCACAGGTGTTTCTAAGACTATTCAGAATGAGATACTTGACTGCCTGCTGCAGATATACCATGATGAGATAAAGAGAGAGATTAAAGAAGCTTCATTTGTAGCTGTCATGGCTGATGACACAACAGATGTTTCAGAACACACTCAAATGGTAATTGTTCTACGGTACGTGCTGAATGAAGAAATATTTGAGTGTTTTTGGGGATTCTTTATTCCAGAAAATCCAACTGCAGATGGCATATCAAAATGTATTCTTGAGCAGTTAGATATAATCCTTCAAGGAAATAGACAAAAACTGATAGCTCGGACATTTGATAGTGCAAATGTCATGAAAGGCAAAAAAGGGGGCGTTCAGGCAAAATAAAAGCTGTTTATAATAATGCACATTTCACTGTTATGCGCACCAACTGAATCTGATAATGAGAAATGCAGCAAGTATTACGCGGGACTCGAGAATATTTTTCTCTAACGTTTTGGCTATACCAACATTTTTCTCAAGATCACCACAACGTGTATCCATTTTCAATAAGCATGTGAACGTCAGCATTCCGCGCCCATCCTCTACAAGGTGGAACTTTAACATACTGACCGTGAACAAAGTTCATGAAAATTGGCAACCTTTAAAAAGTTGTCTTGCTGAAATTCAGTCGACGGTAAATGCAGATCGAACTATTTCAGAAGCAACAGGAATTTTGCACTACCTGAATAATGAAAAATTCATGTTCTGGTTGGAGCTTTTTCATCAGATCATGCCTCATGTTGAGGTAATTTACTACCAAATGCAGTCTCGAGAAATTGATGTGTTTAAAGTACATGAATATATAACAAATTTCAAAACTGCTATTTTAGAAATAAGAAACTTGAAGTACTGTGAGAATCCTTCAAAGACGCCCACGGCCGAAGCAAAGGAAGTATGTGACTGCATATGTGTTGATATGGTGGAGAGATATTCTTTCACTAAACAATTAGTAGCTGCTTAATTATTGAACAAGAAAAGCTTCACGAGTTTTACACAATATTAAAACAATTCTTAAAAATGTTTTGAAGTAGCACCCCCCACGAATTAGTCACGAGCCGCCACTGATTGTGAGTGATGTTGAAAGCTTCAACTGTCTTTATGGTTGGTAAAACTTGTCAAGTAAATGAGTGTCAAGTCTGTCAATATGAGTGGCATGTGTAAGTGCTTGTGTTTGTACAACCACTTTCAAGTTTTGTTACCTCCATCCATTTTCACCCAGCAAATGTGTTAATGTCAATTTGTAGGTGAAAGATTTTATCCTCAATAGATGTAGGTGAAGCAAATGGGTAAAAACACCTGGAGACAACTGCGTGATAACGAAATTCTCGGCTTGAAAAATGCTCTAACAGCAGGTGTGCAGATTTTGATGGAGGTGTGATAACGAAAATCGCGATAACCAAGTGCGCTATAACCAAGGGATGACTGTATAAGGTTCAAAGGCTAATTGACACTTCAGTAAAAATAAGATAATTTATTTGGTGTAGTTTGAAGTAAAACTTGAAAGATTTCTATTTATTAAAATATATATATATATATATATATATATATATATAATATATATATATATATATATATATATATATATATATATATATATATATATATATATATATATATATATATATATATATATATATATATATATATATATATATATATATATATATATGTAATTTTGTTTTTCATTGAACCGATACATCAGGATTTTACAGTTAGAAGTAATTAAGCTTTACATATATATATGTTGATTAAATAGTACACTACAACATTATTTGGTGCTTAATACTGTCTTATTTAAGGTCGTCAAAGATAGAAAAATCCTAGAGGTACACGTTGACAAGGGTATGGAAGATGGACAAAAGGTGGTTTTCTCAGGGGAAGGGGACCAAGAGCCAGGTTTGGAGCCTGGTGACATCATCATTGTCCTGGATGAAAAGGAACACCCAGTATTTAGGTGAGTTGGTGTTACATTAGCAAATTTGTGTGCTAGTTTTTTTGCCTCGGCTGTCATGATTCGTGTTTCTGCATTACAGTATTTCTACTTTGTGTGTGCAATTTGAATGCTTATATTGAAGTTTTAATATTTTCCTTTAGGAAATATACATTTGCAGGCATACTCTGATAACCAACGCAAATTGGGATTGGGAAAAATTTTTTAGTTGGGGAATCAACGGTTATCAAAGCAATTAATCCCATAATATATCAAATTCAGGGGTTGGGGACTTGGCCGCCCTCCAAAAACTACCATCTACCCCTTGATATATCTGTACTGTATACTGTCAAACAAGAACATAAAGCAAGCATAATAAGCCTTAAATAAGCAATGTAAAGCATAAATCAAGACTGCTCTTTACCGGTGTGATGGTCTACAGTGGCAAGTTCAAGTCTCTACCACTCTTTTCTGGTCCATCATCACTCTTTATTATGCTTATTACGCCTCAAGTTGCCTCGCACAAGAGGAACTATCATCTGGGTATTTAAGCTTGATTGAGTAAGTGGGAAAAAAAACAGGAAGTCAGAGAGACATAATAAGTTTTAACGAGTAAAGATGACGGGAATGAATCAGGACAGTATCCATAGCCGTCTGGTGGCAAGAATTCGCACCACGCCAATGCCTGCCAAATTCAAAACAGCTCTGCTGATGGTCAGATCTCTGGGGTATCAAAGAAACTTGCGTGATATTTCTCCTATATGTAATTGGTAGTCAGTGGGACAGGTTTTCAGGGTACACCTGTAGTACGGTATGCAAAACTAATTTGAAATCAGTTACATGCACATACAGAATGTGGCTATGAAAAAAGAAAAGAAAAGTAATTGTCATAAGGTCGATAACAAGGAATCTTCATTTATTCACGTGTGAGAATTAGCATGCTGAGCGGGAAAGGGGGTTCGGCAAAGTGCAGGATCTTGGCTGTTCTGAGCTGTCTCCCTTGTTTAGTGAAATGATTGACAAATATTTTGTCATCCAAGTGGCAATACTATCGTACCTCTTATAATGGACTAGATACTTCTTGAGGCTGGTCTGGTCCGCTAAACAAAATATCCATGAAAACCATTATAACCTGGTGCTTATGGAAGATGGATTTTTGCTAATAGCAAAATTAGTCAAAATGATCAATAAATCTTTTTAGATACTTCTATTTTCTTACTGAATGATTAATGTGACAAAAAAGAGGTTTTAAACAATATAAAAAAGTTGCTGTTCCCGTATATCTCGGCCTACAAGGGGACGGGGTGTTTAAGACGGCCCCCAAAATTTCCACTTAAAAAGTCGCTTTTGAGCTCTATTCACTGTATAAGACCAGTACCCCAAATGTGACACTTACCATTGGGAGCTTACTGACCCAGTAGTCCTTTACCAACCATCCCATTGACCAGTGCTGTTTACACATCCATGGTTTTTAAAAATAAGGCCAATTCACTTCAAGTAATGTCAAGTGTTACCGGCTGGTGTAGTGTAAACACTAGTGACTCACTTAAACGTCCCTTATTTAACTGGAACTAATGTCGGTGTCGAATACAATTGTTTCATTTACTTGAAATGGATTTATCGATTTATTTGTTTATTTATTTATAACATACTGTAATATATTAAACACACTGCAAGTATTTTCTTTAATTTATAAGCTTGCTTCACGAGAGACAATCTGTGGTGGGACTGTTCCCACTGTTTACACCAGCTACAGTATTCTAATTCAATAGTGTTTCATTAGGATTTGAGTGAAAAAGATTACTGTACATACTTACTATATACATTTATTACACAAATATATATATATATATATATATATATATATATATATATATATATATATATATATATATGTATGTATGTATGTATGTATGTATGTATGTATGTATGTATGTATGTATGTATGTATATATATATATATATATATATATATATATATATTCACAATATTTTATATAATCAGTAGTCATGTACAGTCGCCCTTAATATACGCTGGTTTATAATACACGGATTTGTAACACGCTGATTGCCCCGCCGAGGAATATTCTGTACATTGAAGTATTCAATTCGCTACATGGCACCGAACACGGACACCACCAAGAACACACACGGACACCACCAAGAACCACAGGGACACCACCAGAACCACACACGGACACCACCAAGAACACACACACGGACACCACCAGAACCACACACGGGACACCACCAGAACCACACACGGGACACCAACGCAGAACCACACACGGACACCACCAACCACACACGGGACACCACCAAGAACCACACACGGGACACCACCAGAACCACACACGGGACACCACCAGAACCACACACGGGACACCACCCGCAACCTCACACACACACGCATAGCTCCCCCTCACTCAGTCAGTCTCCTGTAACCACACTTGTGTTGACATCAGCACTGTAGTTGCAAAAATATTACATTTCCGTGAATGTATTATATCGCACAGTATGAATAGAATATCACTAATATAAGAGATATTTAACCAAAAACTACTAAAAAACGAGTAACATATCTTGAACATCAAGGCTAGGTAAAGTCTTTTGTTTTCATGTAGTTTATCCTAATTTACATTGAAATGCATTACGTTTCAGCAAAACTACTATTTATTTCTGAGAATATGGAAATGTAATATTTTGCTGAAATGACGTACGTATTATGCTATGATGATGCAAGAGATCTGCCCTGGCAACTGTACCGACACTCACAGCTGGTGGTGCGTTGGTGCGTCGTTTCCATTGTTTACTGGTAGTTACTGGTAAATATTTTTCAACCTAACGAAACTATTACCCGTTTAGAGGTCGACCCCCCAATTTTTTGCCAAATAATTTGGTCTTAAAAACTTGAACTACACACAGGTATATACGGTAAATTAGGACATGGGGGGCATATATACGGATTTTAACATCCACGGGTATCTCTATTACGTATCCCAGCGTATGTTAAGGCCGACTGTACTGAATATTCTATAAAAAATATAAATTTTAAATTAATTATTTATAGTGTGGTCGACTTCCTACACAAAGACGGGCTATAAATAGCCGTCTTAT